TTAGCTTTATAATGGGGACGGGGCCCACCGCCTTTTCCCTTTCCAGCGGCCTCCCGCAGGAAGGCAAGGTCCTATGGCCTTTTCCCTTTCCAGCTGCCTCCCGCAGGAAGGCAAGGCTCTATGGCCTTTTCCCTTTCCAGCGGCCTCCCGCAGGAAGGCAAGGCTCTATGGCCTTTTCCCTTTCCAGGGGCCTCCCGCAGGAAGGCAAGGCTCTATGGCCTTTTCCCTTTCCAGGGGCCTCCCCCGGGAAGGCAAGGTCCTATGGCCTTTTCCCTTTCCAGCGGCCTCCCCCGGGAAGGCAGAGCCGGGGAGCCAGGCTGCGGACGGAGAAGGCCAGGCCAGGTGAAGATCGGGGCGTCGCGGCCCTGCAGGCACAGACCGGCCACTCGAGGTGCGACAAAAAACAGGCTTATTGGGAAAAAATCCGCGGTTGTATTTCACAAAACAACCAAACAGCGGGACTGAAAAGATTTGCAAGTAGTGGGACCTGGAGCAGCAGCAGGCACGGCACCACTTCAGGCTCATTTTTTTAATCGTTTGTTACCTTGGAGCATTCATCCCCATTATAAAGCTAACTTAGGACTCGGCCACCTTGTGCTGCTTAGCTGAGAGGGACAGAAGATGAAAAACAGAAACCCACTGAGTGTTGTATTGATCTGTGCAGTCCCCCCACGACTTTATGTCCAGGGGCAGCTTTGAACTGCTGTGAACAAAGGTGCGGGACGGAGCTCCCGAGGCAATGAACAAACACATCCAGTTCCTTCAAAACAGACAAACGGGGCTTAGGGGGAAAGGGAAAAGAAAAGCAAAGCACCACACCTGCTGCTAGGCCACGTTAAGATTATTTTATTATAGCTAGAGCGATGCTACATCAGTTTGAAGCAGTACAAGAGTCAAGCAAATTCAAGTGAAAGGAAACTTGCCATTAAACTGCAGTAAGTGCACTGTGAGGTTCAAGTTTTTACCATCTACCAAATCAAAGTAAAGGTCATGCTTGTTAGTGCTCCTGAGTAGCTGCACCACATCTTTTTTTTTTTTTTTTTTTCTTGAAATGGCACATATTTACATTCATTCAGTGTTTTAGTGCATTTACACACAAAACTAATGATTTTTAAATTATTTTTACTTGTTACATTCATCTCTTCCTCTGTAAAATTAATTAAAAACAAACCATGTATCAAAATTCTATCCTTTTATTTCTTCAATTTTTTTTATTTTTTTTTTTTTTTTGACAGAATTTTATGTTGTGTGAGAAAATTAAATGCAGGACATTTTATGGTCCAAAATGAGTTAAAGGGAAAAGCCAGTGGAACGCAATTGTAGCTTGAGTACTTATCACATTCAGGAAGATGATTAATGGTGACAGAAATTCATGAAACTGAAGTTGCAGAAGACAGGGGGAAAGCCTTAGTTTTACCCTTTTAAAGCAAGACAAGTGAGTCAGTAAATATCTCAGCATTTAATTTCTTCTTAAACATGAGAAATTTTATTTTTATTATTAATTTTTACAATCACAGCTGTTTTCCTAATGTCTTCAGTGGACAAAAGTAAGAGTTTTGTCCACATATTTGAGTGTTTATTTATGCACTTTTTCAAAATATTCTTTGGAACCTTCTGGGCTTGGTTTGATCTGTGAAAAAAATAAAGTTTAGTTATTACTTGGTATAGATACAATAAAAAAATTACAATTTGACACTTTATCCAAGAAAACCCATGCATATTTTGTAGAAACAGTAATCTAATTCTGTTTCTGCACTTGGTTGAAAGACAAAAACCTAGACCATGCACAACTCTTACTTGAAAATTTTAAGTATAAACCACATTTTTCCTGTTAAATTACAATGCATTAAATAAGTTAAAAAAATCTGAACTCGGTTAATGCAGAGTCCAAGTCAAATCTGGAGTTTTGAACAGAATTTGCATCTCCTGAAAGGAAACCAGTAGCTTTCTTCACAGAAATCCCACAAACAAACTAAACTGGCCCAACTGGTAAAAGCTTTGTGTTTAAACAGGCAGAGATTCAGTCAAACACCTCACATCCGAGTGGATGCCAGCCCTTCAGACAAGCAGAAACAGGCCAGTGCCTATCTTTAGGAAGATTATATTTAGCACTGAGCAGGCACTCACTGTTGGGGAGTCTGGAGTCCAGTTAGCCGGGCACACCTCTCCGTGTGTCTCCACGAACTGGAAAGCCTTCACCAGGCGCAGCGTCTCCTCCACGCTGCGCCCCACGGGCAGGTCGTTAACACTCAGGTGCTTGATGACCCCGTTTGGGTCAATGATGAACAGACCTCTGCAAAGGAGCAGGAGTTTAGGGAAGGCAAATCACGTTCCAAGGCCAAACACAAGGAACTGGATGCACAATTTCAGCAAGGCTGTTACTCCTAGTTACACGCATCAGAAGCGGAACGACAGCATTTGGTATCTTGTTTGTTAGCAAAGTGATGCACTGCTATGTGAAATTACAAAATATGCAGAGATTATTCAATCCAGACAGACACAGCAAAGGGAGAACTCCATGTTCCACCTGTACTTCAAAACTGAAAGCTGGCATCCCAAAAGACATGGGTCTTTTTGGTCAAATCTGTAGGCACTGAGTGAAGAGCTGCTTGTGCTTTATGCCACTAAATTAAATCCCACTGCATACATGCACATGTGAAAACCAAAGTCCCAATCTTACCTTACTCATTTACTTAATCTATCAGTAAACAAATCAAAGAGTCAAAAGCTCCTGATCCAAAGAGATCAGGAACTAAAGGCCTCCAGAAGACTCCTACCCAATCCACTCAGGACTACTATGGAAAAAAGGTATCAGAAATTGCCCTTCAATGCTGCTCTTTTTCCTTAGTGATATGGAGCTCTCCCCCTCTCTCAGAGCAGGAAAGCTGGCTTTTCCTTCACACACTTTCAGCCTGAAGCTCTTCTCAGCTTCATGGCCAGAATGGCCAGTTGCCCTTTTCCTAGGGTGGGATCCAGCCACCCTACTGCAGCAGAAGACATGTCACAGCCTTCACCTGACACCATTTCCCTGCAGGAGGGACAGTGGGCCGTATGTTGGTTAGACTGGGTTGTGTCACAGCACAGCTACCTGCAGTTGAGCCTCACCTCAGTGCTATGCCAGGTCCTTCCAGCAGCACCCCATAATCACGGGAGATCTGTTTCGTGAGGTCTGACAGAATTGGAATATTCATTTTGCCCAAACCGCCGCTCTAGAGAACAGAGGAAGGTTTCACTTGGTTACAAAAAGCTCCATAGGATCATCCTTCCTGAGCTGCTGGATTCCCTGTTCTTCAGGGCACAGTAACAACAAAACACAACCATGGCATCTGCTCCATGAAAGGAACCAACTGTGTGCAGTGTTGCTTGGGTTTACTTTGTCTGTTTGTTTTAAAGTGGTCAAGAACAGTTTGTTTCTTTAGAAAGCAAAAATTTCTTTTGCACTGAGCATTTTAGAATTGCTTATTTTGGTGGTAAGAGGCTACCAATGACAACAGCCATAAATTTCCAGAAAAATTTCCTTTGTACCCTATTCAGGAGCTTTGAATAGAAGAATTTCTACTGCATATTTACGTGGTCAGAATTAAATAGGAGGACCATGGTGCAGAGGGAAGGGAAACAAACCTGTGAACAAACTTTGGAGCACATGTCTGATGAGGAACAATAGGGGAGCTGAGGATATTTAACCTGGAGAAAAGGAGGCTCAGGGGTGACCTTTATCACTCTACAACTACCTAAAAGTGGGTGTAGCCAGGTGGGAGTAAGCCTCTTCTCCCAGGTAACATAGGACAGGACAAGAGAAAATAGCCTCAAACTGCACCAGGCGAGGTCTATGTCAAATATTATCAAAAATTTCTTCACAGAAAGGATTGTCAGATACTGGAACAGGCTTCCCAGGGCATGGGAAAAAAACTCATGTGGATGTGGCACTTGAAGACCTGGTTATGTTGAACATGGTGATGGTGGTGGTGGTGAGTTGGACTTCATGATCCCAGAGGTCTTTTCCAACCTCAACAATTCTATGACTCCAAACACAATGCTCCTACCAGCACACCAGGTATGTCAGAGTTCTGCTGCTCTATTCAGTGCACACATTTTTTTTTAGTTTTGCCTCTCACAAATCAATTTAAATACTATTTGAAGAGTCAAACAAGATTTCTTTCAGTTCTGCCACATACTGAGTTTGCAAGAGAGATAAGCTCTCTAACCTTGAAACAAGGCTGGAGTTTGTTAGCTTTGCTATTCTTGGCATCATCAGTGAATCACTGTGTAATCTCAGCCACTCAGACCCTGATCCTGCAAACACTTGTCTGCAACAGAGTTCCCTACAGAGAGCTTGGAGCACAGATGTCAGAGAAACCAAGGCTTCACCTTCTCTGGGTGTCAGTTTCCTGCCTGTGCCACCATGGAATTATTTCCACCCTGTGGAAAGGGTGTTTTGAGTTGGGCTCCATGATCTTTGTGGGTCCCTTCCAACTCAGAATAGCCTGTGCATCTGTAAAATACAATGTGCACCACTGACATACCCTGAACACCTTTGGGATAAAGCTGTGAAATCAGGCCAGTCACATTGCTGAGCTTTGAACAAAGCATGCAGAAAAGAAATACTCTTGACAGGTTCAGCCAAGGTGTATTAAATCCAGCAAACTCTCCTCCCTCCCCTGCATGTTCCAGTGGTGCCCAGCCTGCAGCACTCCTGCACACTGTCCACGTAGGCTGGGACTGATGTCACAGGCGCTTCTGCACCTTCCTGGGACACCTGTGGTTCTCTACAACTACCTAAACCAGGGAGATGCTTTATGTTGTCAAAAGCAGGTGTTTTTAAATACATCTGAGAGAGGCTCCTCTCCAGTAAAAGGCTGTCTTTATCACTTTCCTTTCCTAAACTAAGCCAAAAACCTCCACTTGTACTACAAGAACAGAACCCTTTCTGTTAAAAAAGGTGAAACTGGTGATTCTTCTGCTTCCATCCTGAAGCCACCACTGTTGGGTGCTTGTTCACAGTAATGACTGAACAGCGGCTGCTCTTTTTTGGTGATAGTTTTTGTGCATTATCAGCTGTCACAGACATCTTAGGACGGTGGTAAGTAAACTGAACATTTGTCTTTTGAGATAAATGTACAAGGATACAATGTTATCAACAAGGCCATCATCATAGCAAAACAAGTTAAATTCTCAAACCAAATAATTAAGAAAAAGAGAACAAAAGACAGAGGTCAGAATTATGTCATCAAATGTGAAAGTTGATTGCATATGACTTGAGGAACTCTATTAAAAATCAGCATTGGCATAATTATTTATTCAACTCTTCTTCTCTGGACTCTTGTGAAAATAAACCAAACCAACAGAGAAAGCCCTAAAAAGATACTTGATTCGTACCTTCCGTGGTGTGTTTATCCAGGCCAGATGAGTAAAATGAGAGTCCACTGAAACAGCCACCACTTCACAGTTCACGTCACGAAATTCATTTGCTTTGTTGCTGAAAGCCACAATTTCAGTGGGGCAGACAAAGGTGCTGGTGGGAAGACAGATCAGGCTGTAATAATTCTGCTGTCTTCTCTAGAGAAGACTCTCATGTGTGTTTCTAGGCACAAATGCAGTAGAGTGTTTTCTTTAGACTGTTAATTTTAGCCATGTTCCCTGCTCAAGATTAGTTTCAGTCTCAAACCAACAGTCACAGCCACAGAGTTGGCACACCAGTTACCATCTCTGAATTTTAGACAAATGGAGATGTCCATTTGTCAAATGGACATTACAAAGATGGAGAAACTGTCTTTGCTAGAGATTCTCTGGACAGTTTTTTTGGAACTACAGCAGAAAGGTCTGCAGATTAAATCCTTCTCCATGTGCCCACATGCACTAGGATGCTCCTGGCAATTCAAATCTTCTGAGCAGACTGACCCCCCATCCTGTCATGGTTTTGCCATGTAGTTGCAGTTCTGCTTGCCCTGCTGCTTCAAGGACAGTCTCCAAGGCAGCTGCAAACTGCACGGCAATGCTCTTATCCCTGGGATGTGACTGTAACAAGAACCACAGCCAGCTCCTGATGCAGTCCCTGCAACTAAAAGATGCTTTTCAGCCACCCTATCCACTGCTTTGACACACAATGGCCATGTGCTTCCAATCTTATCACTCATGCTCTAGAAACAGGCACATCTCCTGTGCAAGACTGGTCTAAATCGGGCAAAACCAGAACGACCTGCAGCACTTGTGATGACCTTCAGCAGGGCAGAAGGCCCGTAGGCAAGGGGAGAAACCCGCACTCACAAGTCCAGGGGGTAGAAGAAGAGAACCAGGTATTTCCCCTTGAAATCATTTAGGCTCAGCTCCTTGAACTCTCCGTTAACCACGGCCGTTCCCTTGAAGGACGGGGCGTGCTGGGTCACCGCCGCGGCGAACCGCGAGGAGCCTGCGGAGGGGAGAAAGCAGAGCTGCGGGCCGGGCC